CAACCGGAAGGATTCGTTGACAAAGTACATAGTCACAAGGTGCTAAAACTCTCAAAAGCTCTTTATGGTTTACGACAAGCCCCTCGAGCATGGAACATTCGCTTGGATAAAAGCCTAAAAGGACTTGGTTTTTCGAAATGTTCACAAGACACGGCGGTGTACAAAAGGAACTCAAAAGGAAAAACTCTTTTAGTTGGTGTCTATGTTGACGATTTGATCGTTACCGGATCAAACAACGAAGACATTATCGAATTCAATGACCAAATGAAAAAAAGAATTCGAAATGAGTGACTTGGGTTTACTTTCTTACTACCTTGGAATAGAAGTGGCACAAAAGAAGTGAGGAATTTCTTTACGACAAACGGATTACGCAAAGAAGATTTTGGATCAATTTGGGTTACTAGATTGCAACCCTGCAAGTTCACCGATGGAACCAAAGTTGAAAGTCAAGAAAGACGAAGACGGTGAAAAAATTGACCCGACCGAATATAGACGAGTAGTGGGATGTTTGAGGTACTTGACGCATACTCGACCAGATTTGTCGTACGCGGTTGGAATTGCAAGTCGTTTCATGGAGCAACCCACCACTTTGCATTTCCAAGTAGTAAAACACATTTTACGATATGTCAAAGGAACCATTGATTACGGACTCAACTATGGAAAGGGTCGTGAAGTTGAAGACTTGGTTGGGTTTAGCGATAGTGATCATGGTGGTGACAAAGTTAGTGGAAAAAGCACAAGCGGGATGATTTTCTACCTAGGAAGAAATGCGGTGACATGGCAATCTCAAAAACAAAGGACCTTTGCTTTGTCAACATGCGAAGCCGAGTTCATGGCAGCCACGGCAGCGGCATGTCAAGCCATTTGGCTTGGTAATCTCGTGAAGGAGCTTACAGGTGATCATGTTATGCCTATCACGTTGTATGTTGACAACAAGTCAGCAATTAAGTTGATGAAGAATCCCGTGTTTCATGGTAGAAGCAAACACATTGACATTCGCTATCACTTCATAAGAGAATGTGTCGAGGAAGAGAAAGTTGTAGTGGAACATGTCGACTCAAAGGATCAGCGAGCAGACATCTTTACAAAGGCCTTGACACAAGTGAAGCACGGCGAAATGCGAAATATGATCGGTGTGACAGATATTGAACTTGGTCCGGTTTAAGGGGGAGAATGTGATATAAACCTGACCACACACAAAGTCAGAAGCATCTTCCTTGTTTCATGGTAGGCGTGACTTTAGTTTTCCCTATGTTTGAAAATAAGTCATACATTTGGTAGAATAATAAATTTGGTTGCAGCTATCCATGACTTTTACCAAGTAGTTAGGATTTTTTAAGCTTATATAAGAAGCCGAATCGTAGGCTTGAAGTGAAGAATATATCCCATATTGTAATTTGTCTTTCAAATATTTTATCAACAATAGCCTTTTGGCAACATCTCCATGCACGTCCAATTTATTTAGATAACATCTGAAACCCATATTTGTTCACAAAACTTTAGCTTTCTTGCATACAAATTATTTTATAAATTCCAACAAAGTTCACCTCTAATTTGAAATTAGAACACATGATTTTAGACCAAATGGTTGGGTTTTTCATAATGTTCCACATGTCAATAGCTTTTTTTTGTGGTCGCTCGCAGACTATGTACCTTCTGGATTAGAAGTTATGGTTATCCATCTACGGTTGGATGTTTTCTCAACATTTTTACCAATCCAAGTCTGAGTTAGTCAACTAATTAGTTATTTGTTTATTAGAGATCAAATAATTTTTCCGAAAGATCCAGAAAATCTGAGATGCCAGTCACGCCACCATGCTATAATGCATATAAGTTATAGGATACCCTACTTACAACATGAGTTGTCTTGATCACTAACATAATGCATTATTGGATGTGTATGCATGCATAATGGGTTGTCTTCATACATAATTAATTGAATAGACTTTTGTTTTTAAGATAGTTTAAATTAAATTTAATGAATTCCAACATATATTTTTATTATTTTTATAAGACTCATAATAAAATAGTTTAGTTGGAGTCATATTTATTTTTACTAAAATTATGTCCTCCCAAAATAACGCATGTTCATGTGCCTCCTAACCAGGGCAGGATCGACACTTAGTCCCTTAGAGTTGTCCTTGAATAAAATTATAAAATTAGTTTGTTAAGACTAATTTTTTTTTTTTAACAAAAACATATTATCATGATAATGCTTATCCAGATGTTTTTAATGTATGCCCAGGTTTAAAAGCATAGGTCTCTCTTTCTCCAAGATAACTATGTATGCAACAAACAACAAACATTAAAACACACATATATAAGCCATGACACAGTGTATCTTTGCATCACACAACACATCCCTACATTGTTTTCTTCCAAAACTTTATAACATAAATGACCTTATTTCAATCTGAAATAATATGCATAAATAAATTATTACATAAAATTACAATATTTTGAAGAAGACATGCATGCATATAGAGTTTGGCAATGTACTGTTTTGCATTTAATGCTTTGTTTGGCTTATCTTCCATGCTAATGCCAAATTCATAATGGTGATATCCCCTCTCCACCTTCTGTTTGTTTGTGTGGCTTCCTTTCTTTTCAATCAATCCTCTTGTGGTTTGTGGCTCCACTAAAGAGAATGTGATGCTCTTCATTTTCACCATTAATTGTCTACAAAGGTTTCATTAGAGTCCCTTCAAAACCAAAAATGGTGTCATATCAATTAAAGTAGATTATGTTTTCTGACGAACTCGAAAACCATACACGAAAAGTATGTTTCTTGATGTATTCAAGTTAATCTATCGAATGAAACTATAATGATCAACTAATTTAGGGTATTTTGAACAACCATTAACTAGTTTTCAAGACTTAACTGAGCAGTTGGAATTAATTAGATAAATTACCAACAACTAAAGGCAATTCAAATTGAACGAAACAAGTTTAATTATAAATTTGAGTTGAGTTTATAAACTCGAATAAACTCAATCAACCACTTCACAGTTATTTGACATGTACGGTTTATCATACAAAACTGGTGTATAATTTCCATAGCCTCCTACTGATGTGGATTCTTGCATGGAGAAAATCCGTCTTCGTGAAAATTGGCTGAAAATGAAAAAAAAGAATTTCACCTTTGGATCTTTGATGACATTCAACGAAAATCCATGAATGTATATCAACAAAAAGAAAGTACAATTTTAAAAAATGTAGGGTTAAATTTGTCATTGTAGTAAACTTTGGAGACTAAAATGAAATTAAGCTTATGAAATTAGGCAACTAGCTATTAATCTTCAAATCAAACAAGAAAGAATCTGTTAATGGGCCGTCAAAAAAAATTTATGTCGGCCATCGAACACTATTTTATATTTTCAACTTTTGTTTCGATTATATTAAACATTTATAATTTTGTGCTCATTACGGAAATATTTTGTGAGAACGTGAATTGGATTTTAGCGACATGAATTAATAAGTTACTTGATTTAGAACGAAGTAAGAAACTTGAATGACGATTTTAAAAAGATTAATGTTTGGAGTAGGCTGAGGATTGTTAGGCTCAAAACCATACACGATAAACATTTACCCTATGAGGATGAGGGGGCGGATTAGTTATTCTGGGTTTACTAATACATGTGTTTGACCCTAGCTATAGTTGTTAAAGTTTATAGTTATAAGTATTTTGTAGCTAAAGATTTCGATGTAATCATTTTTAAATAATCAGTCGAGTAACAAAAGAGTTATATGGTTCATGCATGCGTATGTTGGTCATATACTTGGCCACGTCACGTTGATAATTTGTGTCATTTTATTGTTTTTCGTTGATCATTTGCAAAACCGATTTTAATTTGCACCATCGTGGTACATCAATCGGTGAGACATCCAAAGATAACATGATTTCCTTTTTGTTTTTGCACATTTTTAACGTGCATCTTGTATTATTCTTACATCTATGATGGTAAAGTTTATTTTAATTCGTAAAATTTTAAATTTAAATTACTTCAATAGAATTCTACACGTGAAACAAATTTATAATTTTACATCTTTGCGTGAATGTAAAAAATATCGTGCACAACTATTCACCGAGATTTTGCTTTCAGAAAATTCCCCACGAGAATCAAAGCAACCATATTTTTGACTAATAAGTGAAATGGAATATATCTAACTATATCCTTATTAAATAATAATGGAATACAAACAAATTAATTTAATACAATGTCCCAATGAGGGCCTACTCCTCCGAATATATTTGGCCTTTCATGGGACATAATGACCCATTTAACGAAGACATGTTTTCTTGGATAGGGGCATTAATTCCAACTTAAAAAAATAATTATTGGTCATATTATGCTTTGATGACGAATTTACAATATCTTTTCAAAAGTTAATTTACGCATCCATTATTTTACTTTTTAAATTTACAATATTTGTCTTCAATAAGATATATATGTAATTTAACTTTTGGTTAGGAACATAAGTCGACCAACCCTTGATACAATAAAAACGTATTCTTTTGTTTGGTTTTGTAATATGAATAGATCTTGCTCGGTTAATTAAGGTTGTTGTATGTCAAAACCATTTAAACAATACATAATTAGGTTTTTGCTCTAGTTACTCTCTCTCTCTCTCTCTCTCTCTCTCTCTCTATATATATATATATATATATATATATATAGGTTCATTTGTTTAAAGTAAGTATTGTGTTAGGGCCAATTAAAATTTAAAATAAAAACAAATAATTAAATAAATAAATAAGGGTAAATAGGTAATTTGATAATTAGTTTCCACAAATAATATCCTATAATTATGGCAACCATACCTAGGTTTTCTCCATCCATCGGCTTTTTAAAACCACCTAAAGTGAACAAGATCATTCGTTGACGTTTTCCTTCCGGGCTCGATGAGTGCACGTCTCTGTTACCTGCTGCGACGCTATTGCTGCTACCAGTGCCTTCTTCGTTTGAACCAGATGAATCAGACAATCCATTGAATCCATCATGTCAACACACGGTGATGATCTCGATCTTCTTCTTTCCCTTCAAGACAGGGTGCTAGAAACCCCTCCTTCTTCTCCTTCGCCCCATTCACCTGGTAATCTGAGTAGTAGGTTAATTATGTAAGTAATTAATCAGATTGTTCATCAACAAAATGTTTATAATATGTAGGAAAGGAAATATTTCCAGATGTTGGTTATAAATCCTCGATTCTTCTGCATTGCTTTCGTTTTGACATTCTTCAGTGCACTCGGGATATACATCCTTAATCTGCTCATAGGATTTCTATCTCCTCAGGTTGATCCGGAATTCCAAGACCTTTCCGATGACCCTACTCTTCCCTCTCGGAGTTCCGACGAGTTCTGCCCTTTTTTTCGTCGTCTTCCCGAGTTTAAGTTTTGGTAATTACTGTTTCTACTCTAAATTCGATTTTCTAATTCCTGATTTCAATTGCAATATTAACTCAGCGATCAACTGATTTAGTTACTTTAGATTTAGATATTAGATCAAATAGGATCACGTAATGAATTTAGGGATCAACAACCCAACAACACACGCAAATTGATAGCAAGACGAACTGGACTGTTGATTTGCAACATAATCTAGGGTTAGCAATCAGGATGTCTGTGCTGTTAATTACTAACCAATTAACCATCATTCTTCAAATCCACCAGTTAAATAATTCTGTTACTGTTGATAATACTGATCTAATTACTCAATTGTACTTGATAAAATATCTGTTACATCTCAAGCAAGTTGTTGAATATGTACAATACACCAATATTATGCAGATACAAATGACCTTCTTCTTAAAAGCTAACACTGTTACCCAACATTCCAGTCTTTTTTGTTAAGCCTTAACAATGAAATCACCAGATGTCAATCTTGTTTTCATTGATGACAGGTACTCGATAACAAAAGCCTTCTGCATTGCTTTCGGTTTCATCAGATTGGTGGTTATAAATCCTGGGTTTGTCATTGGTCCTCTCTTACAGCCAACTCTCAACACCACTTCTGAGTGGGTTATGGGATTGATTATAACTGGTAATTGTCTACTACAACTAAAAATCAATTCATCGGATTTGTATAATTAATTTAGTGCATGCTCAAATCTTTATAATATGTAGGAAAGGAAATATTTCCAGATGGAATTTATAGACTTGTTGATGTGAGAGATGCAATATCATTCTCATTAAATTGTTTTTTACTTTGGATATTTTTCCAACAGAATGCATACCGTAACTGAATCTTGAATTCTAATTCTATCAGAATGGAATCACGAATTACAATTCTGTTGGAATGAAATATGGATATTTTCTAACGAATTTATGCATTGGATTTGTTTCCACAGAAACAGCTGATGCTTGAAGAATGGACCATGAAATTGAGAGTGATTCTTAGCAACATTATTCTTTTAGAATGTATTAGTGTCTTTGTTAGATTTTGATGTTTTTTTCCCTATTTGAAATTTTTTTTAGTTTTATTCTTTAACAATAAATGTAATTCTTAGCAATTGTTACCCGTATTCTATAAGAATTAATGTAATTTTTGTTTTTATTCTTCAATTGATGGTTCAAGGATTTGTTATTCTCCAAGAAGTTTTTAAAGTTATGATCAAGAAATAGGTTAAAAAAATATTTTTATTATTTTATAGTTCACGAATATTTTTATTTTTGATAAATATATTCTGTCAGAATATCCGAGAATTATTATCACTACAACCAGATTTTTAAAATTAATAGAATCTATTATCCCTTAAAATATGCAATTTTCCTTTTTTAAATTTATGTTAATTGACTAAAATACCCTTAAAATGAAATTATATTGTATTTTCTAATTATCTTTAATTTAATAATATGTATTATTCACTTTCTTAAAATAAGTAAAATTGATTGGTCCACATTTATGCATACAATAACACAATAATTACTTTGAATAGAATAACCTAAGCCTATATATATATATATATATATTATATATATATATATATATATATAAGACGGATCACTTGAGATTAAAAAAAATAGAGATCTTAAGATTCAACCTCAGTTACGTATTTCTTATTTACTGCTTTAACGTTCCAGCGTATCGGCAGCAGCGGGGTGTACCTAATCATATATGATTATACGACAAAGAGGTATAATCATATATGATTATATATATTTATATGTATATCGGTATATGCATAATCATAAATGATTATACATATATATCTGTTCACAGATTGAGTAATCATATATTATTATGACAGTTCGTGACAAAAGAGGTAGTGGTGACAGAGATGGCTATGGTATAAGTGACGGAGGTGACAGTGGTGGGGTCGGCTGGTGTCAGATGTAGTAGTATTGGTGGACACGGTTACGGTTGTGGTGGTGGGGATGGTGGCAGAGGAAAAAAGAATGGGTGGTGCTATATAATCATCTATGATTATAACAGGTCTGTCGCGCCGGTACGCCGAAGGGTTAGAGCGGCAGATGTAAAATATATGGCTGAGTTTGAATCTCAAGATCTGTATTTTATTTTTAATCTCAACGGAACCTAACTACCCGATATATATATATATATATATATATATATATATATATATAGGGGCGAGGCTATATGCAACTAAGGTGGGTCCAATGACCCACCTATTTTTTTTTAAAATTTTCTAAAATTTCTATAGAAAATTTTTAGTGAGCTATCTTAAAAAATTTAAGACCTACCTTAGCTATAAAATCGTTGAATTTGTATAGAAATTTTATATAACAAAGTTAATGAACCATGTAATTTTTTATTCTAGACTGATATATATATATATATATATATATATATATATATATATATTATTATATATATATTATATATAATATATATAATGGTTGGTTGTATGAAAAAATAATCAACTTTAGCATACGAACATCTCTATTATCTTCTTTACACCTCTAACATGTGACATGCTTCAACATTATTATTTTTAAACATAATTTTAGTACGAAAAAAGATTTCATAGAAAACTCGGTTGTTTATAATAAAACGTTTTCGTTTTCATGTATATGACAAACTTCTTTTCCAAACAACATGTCATTACTGCTTAGGGCCAAATATGTTTGGAAGCTTGTTATTGAAGGTTTCATTATGTTGGAGTGTTGGGTCTATGTTTCCTAGCTATTGTACATTGATGATTTAACCAATCAAGGTAGCTTCAAATATTTACACTCTAAATGATTAGGATTTGTAGATATTTTTAAATAGTCTAATACAAAATTTATTTATGAATCTTAAACTCGTCAACACATAAAGTAATGATTTGTACCTTGTGAGCTACACCAAGCAACATATTTAATGATGGTGTTATTGTTTAGCCACCTCCATTAATTTAATTTTTCATTATAGACCCCTAGTGATTAGGTCGGTCGGTAAGGTCGTGTAACAAAGGGCGTAAACTGAGGTGCACATTGTCACCTCACGGTGAACACCACTCCAAACATGAGTGATGACATAGTGGTGATGGAGGTTAGTCAGTAACATTGAAAAAGGTTACAAGGGAGAGAGAAGAAGTCTATATATAATATATATATATATATATATATATATATATATATATATATATATATTATATATATATATATATATATATGTGTGTGTGTGTGTGAGAGAGAGAGAGAAGACTACCCCATAACAAGGTTGTAAAAAA